GAGTTGATTGCAAAAAGAAACAATTGAGTCAGTCATCTGAGCTAGCATGAATGCAGTCTGGGGGAATTTGTATCTCAGCAAACACGTGTGTATCCTTGGGTCGGGCCCAGGGAAGAGGGGGGGGGGGGGGGGGCAGACAGGGTAAGTTGTGGTCCTGTGGGGCGGCGGTAGGAAGAGAAATAGTCCAGAGAGGCCAGCGTGGGAATGGGTCAGCATTTCTGACAGCACAGTCCAAGCCCCCTCCCTGCCACCATCCCCCCCCTCTCTCCCCCCCTCCCCTCTTCTTACCACAGCCTTTTCTCCCCCTTCTCCTCCAGCCTTCCCCTTCATGTCCCTCCTCCCTCCCTCCCCGACCCTCTGTCCCTCTCTCGCCACGGAGGGGTGAAGAAGTCTTTTCTCATGGGCTTTTCCCAAATTGTTTTCTCTGACATTTGAGATATTTTGCAGTAAAGCTAATATTTGCGCATATTTCTTCCTAACGGGCTCCTTTTTGTGTGCAGACGGATCGTTTTCCTAACGCCGAGTCCCATTCAAAATGGCCGTTACTGTAATATCGGGCACGCTCGCCACATGTAAGGCTGAATGTGCACATTACCTGCCGCCATTACCGGCCGCGCTGGAGCTGGGCATCTGTTGCACACACACACACACACACACACACAGACTCACACACACACACACACACACACACACAGACACAGACACACACACACTCACACACACACACACACACCGGCGGCGTCTTACCGCGACCACGCATCATTTTACACAGGAAAAGTTGACTTTGATCAAATCTGCAGATTACTCCTTTTTCCATTATTGTGCACGCCCTTTCCCTTCCCGTTTTTCATTTCCCGCTTCTCTCTTCTTTCTTTTTTTTTCTTTTTTTTTTTTATATCCCTACTCTCCATTTCACTTGCTCTCCTCCCCCCACAGCTCCCACCCCGGCCCATATTTCTGTCAGTATGCTGATAGAGTTTGGGGCCTAGGTAAGGAAGGGGATATTAAATCAGGGCTTTGGTTATGTGTGCGTCTCCAACTAGGGCTGTGATTGACAGGAATGCTAATTCAGCTTTTAGGAGTTTGTTCGCCTCTCCTACTGGGGAATCTTTAACCCTGAGACTGTCGCTGCAGCCACCGAGGGCTCTTTTCTTCCATTTTTAGCCGCTCCCTCTTTCTCATGACATTCGGTGCCATTTCTGGGGATGGATCAACTCTTGTGGGAGCTTTTTTTAATAGCATAAACATTGTGTTGCTATGGCGTTCTAAGTAAGGGTTAATGTACTCGGTGGACGTTGAATTGAGTAAATCTTAAGAGTTCCACGGCTAATACATTGGAGACGGTGTCCTTTTCAACAGGCTATCTGGTTCATCTTCTGATTCTCGGAGCTGCTCTATCGTCTCAGTGTAGACGGATCACATCTTAATCGTCCTCCTAGCAACACGGATATAAAAAGAAATGATTACTGCATGACAAACTGGCTTCCTTTAATGAACCTTTAGCACAAAGTGAATGGGCTAATTTACGAAAGAGCAGTATATAAATAGCAATGATTTTCTATTTCGACTTTTTTCTGCATTTTCCAATAGCTTGGAGAACCTGATGATGGTCACAAACTAAAGCATGTTGGCCTCCCAGGGGCCTCAGTAGCCTCACAGTTGTAGCAGCTTTCTTGGCTTCTTGTTATGCTAATGCTAGTTTCCTAAACCCACATTTGTCTGCACTGTGGAGGCTCCTATGTCCACTGACGTCCCCATCCCACCGGTTCGGGTCAGGCGTCGACATCTCTCATCTGCGCGAGCAGCGCGGCGTTGGGGAGGAAAGAAACAAAGGGGAAACTGTTGTTCACAAGCTGTTAAAGCTCCCATAAACCAGAGCGGCTTCGGCCCGGCTCCCCACACATGTTGCAATTAACATGCAGCGGCACGCTCGGTTGGCTAACCTCAAAGGCCGCTGTGATCCGAGCTAGCTAGGCATGTGGTTAGCGGTGGGAGAGCACAGGTCAGCCGGTGGGGGGGGGGTCGCGGATGAAGCACGGAGCTGCATACATGTCAGGTGGCCGAAAACGCAGAAGCTCGGGGAGGGGATTTGGTGGTTTTGGGGGGAAGCAAGTTAGACATCAGGATTTTATTGTGCGTAAACTGCATTTCAGGGTGATATTTATGCCGCTTTTGGGTGTAGTCTGCTCCCAAAAGCTGCTCCCAAAAGTTCCCCCGGTTCCCAGCTTCCTGCATTCCCCAGGCCGACGCTGAGAAAGGCCCGAACTTGTTGCTTTCAATCAAATTTAAGCGCATAAAGATACAGAAGCTTTCCAGCCGGCCGGAGTCATTTCTGATGTCTTGCAGCTGCACGCTCCAGATGAATATATTCATAATCCACCGTGAGCCTGCCACGGTTCATAGATCTTTGCCCCTTTTTTATTTTTGCTACAATTCATCCCCATTAAAGTTACTGTCTTTACGCCTAACGCAAAAAAACTGGATGTTTACTCCTGGTGTAAACACGAGCTGCCCTACGCTTCACCAGTAATGCATCGCAATGAGATTTTTTAAGGTACAAGCCCATTTGCTCCGTTTTCGGCTTTCTTAAGCCCATCTTTTTAAATAACATGACGCGCTGTCTTATCCAAAACGGGACGGATCAACGCAGCACTCATGTCTATCCCCTAAACGGGCTGCCTTACCCAAAACATCACTTTTACTTCAGTCTGCTAGCTTAAGATGAAAACTGAATTTTTTTAGAGCTAAAGAGCTAAAGTTTTGCCTTGAACTTGGACCGGAGCACTCTTTTTTTTTTTTTTCCACGACTCTCTTATCCTCAGCCAAAGCAGGTCTGCAGACGGAGTCTTTATCAGCTTGTGAAAACTGCAGCGATAAGAAGTATTGGTTGTTGCACAGCTGACAGGTCGGCCTGATAAGAAGAGGGGGGGGGGGAAACCTGAAGAAATCCATCAGCTTTGGTCACTGTGCTGATTACAGTCCAATTTAAAGAATCATTCACTTTGAAGTTTCTAACTCGGAGGGTTAATTGAGGATGGAAAGAAAGGAGAGAGGGGAGGAAAAAAAAGTCCCTCGTTCTGACTTTCTGCTTTTTGTCTATTTGAGGATGGCACGGCTTGATGATGATGAAGAGGAGGCGGCCCGCGAAAGGAGGCGCCGGGCTCGCCAGGAGAGGCTGAGGGGGCGGGAGAGCGAGGAGCAGCCGGAGAGCCTGGTGCTGACCAACAGCCACAGGTCTGACCAAAAGCACACCCGGAAACAAGAGTACACAACCAACAACCAGGAGGGCTGCACAGGCCTGAACCTGGACCCCAGTGTCAACATGACTAATATTAATTCAATTCAATTTTATTTATATAGCGCCACATCACAACAACAGTTGTCTCACAGCGCTTTCCAAACAGAGCAGGTCAGACCCTACTCTGAAGTTAACTACAGAAACCCAACAATTCCCACCATGAGCAAGCACTAGGCGACACAGGCAAGGAAAAACTTCCTTTTAACAGGCAGAAACCTCGAGCAGAACCATGGCTCAGGGTGGGCGGCCATCTGCCTCGGCCGGTTGGGGGTGAGGGAAAGAGAGGGCGAGAGAGAGACAGAGGGCGAGAGAAGGACAGAGGGAGAGAGAGAGGCAGCCAACACAGCCACACGTAGACTAGATGACAAATAGCAATGATGTTAATACTAATGATGATGGTAGAAGTTATGACGGCAACAGAGCAGGAACACGGGGGCAGCAGGAAACTCTCAACCACAGATCCAGACTCCACAGCTCTAGGAACACCTGCAGGAAGTGATAGGAGGAGAGAGAAGGGGGACGAGAAAGCACACGACTACCGGGAAGGCAGAGAGTCCAGTTAATATGAAGAACATTTCAGATACAAGTGTAGAAGTCAACTTATCCCCCTTTTCATCCACCAGAATATTATTATATTATACCTACTGTACATATTAACCCTTTAATGCCAAATGTATCATATTTGATACATTCAGTTTCTGAAATGTTTTGCATCGGACACCTTTTGCATAATTTAATGGTAAAAACTTTGCTCAAAATCCTATTGTACTCAGATACACCTGATAACAGGGGGCAGAAGACTACACAAAAATAGTAATAAGTTATTAATATCAAAAACGTATTTCTGTTTTTTCTTTTTACATCTTTTGTTAAAAGGCCAAATAAGGAATTCAAACAAAAAAATAATAATTTTCTGTTTTGTTTTATTCTTGGATCAGGCTTTAAAGGGTTAAAGAAATGGGATAATTTATTTATCCCTAAAGGGAAATTACGTAATATCAGTCATATAATCCACAAATTGATGTTGGATATTGCATGTTATCTTAATATGCAGCCTGAAATACCAGTTTGATATTCAGTTGTGACCTGGTTTAATGTCAGGCAGCCTCAGAAGAATACCTCCAAAATCCTTTCACATTGAGAGAATATATTGCAGCTTATTTGAGGACTTCTTTCAGACAGCAAAAAACCTGATTTCCCTCGGTTACCATGGCTAAGAATGTTATTTTTGCTCCAGTTTTCCAAGGCTTACAATTTTTTTTTAGACGTTAAAGCAGATATTCTTTTTTTCAAACAATGTATCCTCCAACACAGTCAGAAATAGGGCACAGAGGTGAACTATAACACTGTTGGTGTTAGTTTGGTTTGTAAAGCTGATGCTGAATTAATTGAAAATTGTTTGACCTTTTAATCCAGTTGGCTTGCTAGAACGTCTTGATAAATTAGCGCACCGCACCATCTGTCCAACAACCTCCATGCAATGCACGTACCAGCCCACTAATACAAATATCAAACATTAGAAAAGCTCATAACTGATTCTAATGGTGCTTTCTGTCAAGCTAACAAAAAACAGTCTCTTCTAGAGCAGGAACACACTAACAAAGACACTACAAAACCATCTCTTAGCAGTTGGAGGGTGAGAGGTGAATTGCTGGGCTGTAGTGGAAGTTGTGGGCTGAGGTGACATCCAGCCCAACAGATGCTGCTTTGTGAGGGGGACCATGATCTCGGGACTCTGGATCCCGGGTCTGCTGAACAACGGCGGGATTGTATGCTAGGTGACGGGACCCGACACTCGCTGGCCATTGTCGGTTGTGTGGATGGAAGGATAATATTTGCCAGACCAGTTTGAGTCATGCTGGTTTGAGAGGTGTCAGTCTGTCTGAGACAATGAACAACACAATGTTGTGTTGTTCATCAGGGCTAGAACATCCTGGTACGCAGATCCCAGCACAATGGATCCCTGCACGTCTTCACCTTTAAATCCGAGTTTTTCTCACTCTTTGTGTAGCTGACAGTGTAGCAGATGTTTCTCAGCTAACCTCCATTACAGACGAGCCTCTGAGAAGAGCGTTTCCGTGGCGATGACATAATCCTCTTCCACTTCCTCTGCCCACGTTGTCCTAACAGCTGACGTCTCATCTGACCCCAGCACTTCCTCCTCATTAACTCATTGACTGCCAGCCATTTTCAGAACAGAGAGTCCCATACTGCCAGAGTTTTTTGAGCATTTTGACAGATTTTTCAAGAGCCACAGAATAGTTTGTGCTATGACTATGTAAAAACCGAACACACCAAAACAAAGAGTAGACTCTCTTCTTTCATTAGGAAAAAATTTTTGTTTCTACCTTATTCCGTTCTTCCTCGAATTGCGTCTCACCGGCGCCATTTCTCGCATGGCGAACCTTTAAGTTTTTGTTATTTGCCTACAGTCTATGCTCATCTCCCATCAAAAGTGGCACTGCCACCTAGAGGGTCAATTTGTTACTACATACTCTGTCTAGAAGCCGGTATTTACGGACAAGCTTTAGCAGATCGTCCCCCAGCCACTCTCGTTGAAAAACATCAAAGACGTCTATAGACGTCTTTGGCAGTCAACGGTTGTATTTGAATTGACGTCTATAGACGTCTTTGGCAGCCAATGAGTTAATCCGGGGCGCACAATGAAGTGTTTGTTTCTGGCCTCCCTCCCAGCGTGACGGAGAGCGTGTCCGTGAGCGTTGGCGGCGGCGGCGGGGGGGGCGACGAGGAGGAGCAGGCCCTGCTGGAGCGCATGGCCAAGCGGGAGGAGCGGCGGCAGAGGCGCATGAAGGAGGCCCTGGACCGGCAGAGGCAGCCGGACCCGGCCGAGGACAGCCTGGAGAAGAACAGCACGGAGGAGGAGAGGCCCTCCTGGCGCCGGGGGCGTCACCGCGACAACGAGGACGAGGAGGACAAGATGGCCGGCTACAGCTCCAGGAGAGAGGAGAAGGAGCCAGAAGAGCCCAGAGAGGAGGAGGAAGAGGAGGAGGCTGCTCCTGAAGGAGGAGAGGACGAGGAGGAGGAGGAGAAAGTTGAAGTGGTGGAGGACAAACTGAGGAGGTCTAACTTGAGAGAACAGGTGAGTGCGATGAGTGTTTTTTCATCTCTTGTTGTTCTTTTGAGACTCGCTGCAACTGTGACGCTTGTTTCCGCAGGCGTCGGCTGAAGAGCCCGTTACGCAAAACCAGGTACGCTCGCTCTGATCCCAGACGATCAGCGTCGCAGTTCTGTTTTTCAAAGAGCTGCTATAATCCTTTTTCATAGGGCCTCGTCGAAGAGGAAACGCATTCGGTAGTCAGTGAGAGGTCAAATCAGGACAAGTCAGCAAATTCAGAGGCTGAGGGGGACGCGGTAGCGTCAGGAGAGGCTGAAGAGGTACCTGAGGATGATTATGTAGCTAATTCGACAGAGAACGAGCCTATGTTACTAGGAAATTGCACAGAAGAGGACTTTGAGGTATCTGAGATACTGCACTCAGAGGATAATGAGGTATCAGACACGCGGTAAGAGTTTCAGTAGAGGTGTGATGCACAGCACAGAAATTCTCCGGGTAACTTCAGTGTCTCGATGCAGAAAGGGGGACATTTCCCCACACTTAGAGGACCAAACCCCCCCCCACATGAGCCCTCCTTCCAGCTCCGGTCCTGCCCAGCCAGACGCTGAAGTTACCCGTTAGCTCGCACCACTTACAGAGTGACGCTAACTGAGCCGTTGTGGGATTTTTCTGAGAGGTTGTGGTGCACAGAGTGGTCACGCTGTCTGTCTGCATGTCCTCCACTCCCCCGGCGGGTCACGTCTCACTGCCTCCACTGTCTGAAAGAGCCATCAGTCTGTGCCTCTTCTATACAACCCCGATTGTGTTTTTGTTTTGTTTTTTTAAAGTGTGAAATCTAAATAAAAACAGAATGCAACGATTTACACGTCTTCTAAATAAAGTTAGAGTTCAGAAACATTTCAAATGCTGGAGTTGGACAGGTGTTTTAATCAGACTGGAAAATCACTGACTTCTGTTTTTATTGACTTAATTGGAATCGTGGTTGTACGGAAACAAGCTGATTGCTTGGTATCGGCGGTACTTAGTGTTTTAACTCTAAATCAGGGACTCTCTGGTCCTCGAGGGCCGCCGTCCTGCAGGTTTTAGGCGTTTCCCTGCTGACCCCCACCTGATTTAGACTGAGGGGAGCAGCTAAAACCTGCAGGACGGAGAAGATTCCTCTCCTAGAAGGATGTGAATACGACCTAGCTGTCACACAGAGCACCTCACTCTTGTTTTGTTTTGTCCCCGTTGATAATAATGGCTCTGGCATATTCCGAAATGAAAAGAATCCAACAGTCCAAAGTGGACCTAGTGAGATGTGATTTTTCCTTTTTTGGTTAAATTGCTTCTCCCTGACTGGGCGGGCTGTGAAAGAACCGACCCAGTCCCGCGTTCCTCACCGCCTCCGTCTGTGTTTGCGTGCGTTTGCAGGAGAGGGGCGGGGCCAGAGAGGACCAGAGGAAGCACAACGGCGGGCTGCACGAGGACGCAGCTCCCAAACAGCACAGGAAACCTGAGAGGACCCTCAGGTACAGAGAAACAACCGCACCACCACCACCACCTCTCTACCCAGCAGGGAATAGTCAGAGCCCACTCTAAATCTGATTCTGCTTTTTAAAAAGTGCACGAAAACTTAAAGAAAAATCTCTAATACGGTTAGTCTGTGAAACATTAATTAAATTACCATCTTTTCACCAATCAAATCAGTGTCTGATGCTCATTCTGAAAGCATCCTCACGTAAATGCTTGCTTCTATAAAACATTTTTTTTAAAGGCACTGGTCAAATCCCCTTCAGTACCGACTTCATGGAGCGATTTGTGGGCATTAAGACCAGTATGCAGATCGATCACAGCTCAGTGCTTGATCACCTGTGGAAAAGTACTGCAGTAACTTGATAGTCTTGGCAAAAACATCAGCCACAAAGAGCTAACTACTTAACAACCAAAAGATCACCGGTGCCTGGTGGGTGTACAAGACGTATATTCAATCTGAAACGTTCCCGTTTTTTATGCAAGATTTCCAAACATTGTGGAGAAATGAGTCCACCTGATAGACGCAGTGGGATTTGGTGCTTAGCCCTAGTGACAAAGCTAAGCACAGGCAGGCTGAATAAAGGCTGGGCCCGTCACCTGAGCGGAGCTGTAACGTAACCCCCGGAGACGAGATTTTTCCTCGTGTTTTTCCCTGTCAGAGAAATTCAGGCGCGTTTAAATATTCAGTCGGGATCAGATGTCAAACGCTAACTAGTCTGTGTGTGTGTGTGTGTGTGTGTGTGTGTGTGTGTAGCCGTGGCAGCATGCGCTCCCCAGAGGCGTCCGCCGGCGACGAGCAGGACGAGGACGCCCGCCTGGAGGCCGAGCGCAAGCTGGAGGAGCTGAAGCGTCGCCGCGACGACGCGGAGAGCGAGGAGTTCGAGCGCATGAGGCAGAAGCAGCAGGAGGCCGAGGCCGAGCTGGAGGAGCTGAAGAGGAAGCGGGAGGAGAGGAGGAAGGTGCTGGAGGAGGAGGAGAGGCAGAAGAAGCGGGAGGACGCGGAGAGAAAAGCCCGAGAGGAGGTGACCTTTAACCCCTGAGGCCTTGGCCAGAATCAGGTCTCATCCTGGACCAAAACGCGAGGCGTGGCGGGTTTTTCCCGCCCCGAGCGGCTCGCTGTCGGCCCCGGCTCCTCTGCTCCAGTGTGATGTTAATGAGGCCTTTTGCTTTGTAATTAAAAGATGGCCCAGAGATACAGAAAGACTAATTAATCAAGACAAGGAAGCTGGAGAGGGCTGATGCTCTGCCAAGCACCAGCCCTCGTCTGAATACACAAACGCCTCACACACGGACGTCTGGGTTCTGGGGTTTTAAAGCCAGGAGAAAGCTGTAAACAAAAACAATGCTCCGTTAGAGCCAGCCGGTCTGAAATCAGCTGGGGTTGGTTTTTAGTTAGAAAGAAAAGTATCACTTAAATGCGGCTTAGTTGCTGTTGTTTTTTTTTGTTTTATAAAGAAAAAAAAGGAAAACACAGATTTAAATAGAATACTGGACACACTGTGCCTCTACAGGTCAACATTAACCTGATTTGTTTTGGCAGGAGGAGAAGAGGAAGATGAAGGAGGAGATCGAAAGGAGGAGAGCAGAGGCGGCCGAGAAGAGGCAGAAGGTGGACGACACCGTGGACGGGGAGGACAAACCCTTCAAGTGTGTCAGCCCCAGAGGCTCCAGTCTGAAGGCGAGTCCACCTTCCCGACCTCTCACCTCCAACCCCCCGTCCAACTTCGTTTGTCTCCCTGCCAAGCTTTCCATCTCTGAAAGACAAGAGTTTTCCCGCTCTGAGACAGTAGGTCTCCCCTCTGACAAACCTCTCCTTCAGCTTCTCTCTTGGTGTTTCCTGTGGTCAGGATTTTGTTGTTTGACTTATCCAGATAACCCAAAATAAGCAAATGCTCCTTTCTGATACATTTCTGACTCGGTGGAAATCAGATGAAGTCATTCTCCAGCATCAGATATATTTCAGGTTTTATTTTGCTAACGATGTGGAAACGAGACTGATCAATTTTGCTTCCTGCAAGGCGGCTCGCATCTAAATCTGAGCGGAGCTCTGGGCTGACAAATGCGATCCATTAAATCATAAATGAGACGGCTTAGAAAGTCGTGCTCGCTGAAAACGAGTCCAACACACACCCCTGTGTTGTGTTATTGTAGTGATAAGCTTTTCTCTTATGAGTCGGTGGTAGTTTCTGGATGTAGTCGTGTTTGAAAAACCCGTCCAAACACACAGATTTTGGTGTAAAACTACAAAATGCCCATTTTGAACTTAACCTCCTATAACACAATGATGTGACTGGGTAATGACGTACCGAAACCTGCTTTGGTTGTCTTAGTTTCTTTGGTTTTTTACCGTATTTTCTTAACGTCTCACATGGTAGTCGACAAAATGGAGTCAAAATAATAACCTTCCTGTAAACCTGAAATCCCTCTCATCTCAAAGAGCAGTAAGCTTAAACTAAACATTAAGAACATTTGGAAAGATTAAGTGCTAGATGACCCACATGTGCACCTCCCACCTCCTTCAGCCCGCTGCATGAAGTGTTATCTGACTGGGAGGAAGGAGCACTCGTAAATGGAGAGAGGCTTGATGAGCTGCGAGGGATGTGAAAAATATCTTTAATTTCTTTGACTTAACTCTAAACTTCTTGCTGACATGTCCTGCGTTTTCCACACACACACACACACATAAAAGGAGCAACATCTACCCACCCCGTCCTGCTTATCCAGAGATAAATGTTTGTCACAGCGAAGGAACGTTTAATCAGCTCAAATGTGAATAAATGTTTCCAGTCTTGCCAAAAGGCAACTCCCACACACTGAAAATCGAGGGGGATTTTCAGCCAGTGGAGAAAATCTAATTAGTGACAGTTAGCTGTGATATCCATTTGGCCCATCCCAGTGACACTCCAGGCTGAGGGGTTGACTCTGATAGTGAGCACTAATCAGACCAAAAAGCACAAATTTGTTTGATTGTTGTCTTTTCTTTTTCTTTTTTTTTAACAGTCCTTTTCAAATTCATTTTGCACGCCTCTCCACTGGCCTTGCAGACAAAGCTTTACTTTGTCATCATGTTCACTGTAGGTACCGCTGTGCACGGGTGTGTCTGCGGTGTTCTGTGTGCTTTTACACTGTTTAAGATCTGTGTTTTTTTGCAGTTTGTGTGTGTGCCAGTTCCATATATAATGGGATTATTCTGTCACAACAAGAGATAATTGGGTGTTTTTGTCATAATGTTTGTGGCATATTTTATTGAAATCACACCAACATTACTTTGGTCCTGGTCTCTCCTGGGGTCATCCTGAAAAATAGGGATGAACCAGCATTCCAATAATTCCTGCAATAAGCTATTGAACTCTCCCTTCTGTTGTTTTCTGGTCTGCGTTTGACCACAAGTATGTAGAGAAACTGAAAGTTTGCAGAAGGTGGAAAGCTGGTTTAGCTAACAAGCTAACCATCTTGCAAAAGACACATTTTAACCTGTTAAATGTTAAACTAAAAAGTCATCATTAAGATTAGTATCAAAAGCATATTAAAAAAAACATTGACATAAAATCCATATGAGTTCCAACTGTCTTAATATGCCAAATACAAGATATATGGCAATAATTACCCTGCTAATCTTGTTTTTAGCTAAGTTTAGAAGCTAAACACTTAGCCAAACACATTTAGATACATTAGTGAAAACTTTAGGTAGCAACCATAAACTTCTGACTTATTTATTCTCTTTAACTTCTTATTAATCCATAGCAAACCAATATTTAATTTTAATAATAGGATGAATAGTTTTTATATCACTCCAACCATGCAAAGCTGTGTTAGCTAGTTTTTGTGCCAACTAATATTGAGTGTATGACAGAAAATGTTGTTTGAGAGAACCAGGACGATAAAGGGATGGCGGGGAGGGATTGTTACATATTATTTTCATTGTTAATGGGGGAAAAAAACATCTTAATTTTGTCTTGTTTGTCATGTTCTTTTGTTAGCACACAATATGGATGTAACAGCCTATAAGTGTAGACATCATGTGAAAAATGGCTTTAATCTATTTCACGTTGCAGCTCCACATGAAATTACACAAGTGCAGACAGATCTGTTTTTTTGTGTTCCTCACATAAATTGAACAATTTCCTGCTCAATTTATGTGCTGAGTGAATTTCATGCTCCAGCGACATCTGCCAAAAAGCCTATTTCAGATTTTTTAAATATGCATGCGATTGAGAATGTACCTTTTTTTTCTTCCTGTTTTCTATTGAACAGCTGCTTTTTTAGGACTTCCATATTTACAATAAAACACAGAAAGATATGTTTTGCTACCAAGAATAAGCTCCTGTGGAACACAGAGTCCTTAAAGCTCGCCCTCATGTTATCAGCAGTAAGCCAGCATAACCCTGCTCTGTATTTTAGATAAAGAATAGTGTTCTCTGGCAGAAACAGACAGCCAGCCCAAATGAAGGACAGGCAGCAGGGATATGCAGGAAAGCGATTAGGGTTAACAGGATTACTGTAACTGCGTTCGGATGGCTCCAGCTCTTTAAAATGCGCCTGAGAATGGGGAATTTCCTGTTGGAGAGTATTTTGGGAACTCCCACATTCAGTCGCAGCTGAGCGAAAGGTCCCCTTTTCAGAGAGAAAAGGGTAAGGGAGCGTTTTTTTCTGCTTTCTTTTGTCCATTTTATGTGTATGGGAGGAATGCGTGCGCTGCCCCCTCTTTTAGCCTTCTGTCATATATCATAAACAGTCCTTTGAGATTCCCACAGTCCGGCGGCAGAAACTGGAGAACGCTTGCTGTGTTTTCTTATGTTTGTGTACACGCATGCGTGTGTGTGTGTGTGTGTGTGTGTGTGTGTGTGTGTGTGTGTGTGTGTGTGTGTTTGCATGTGTGTTCAGGCAAATCCACATTTTTGGCCACCATTAAAGGAAAAAGAACCCCCAAAAAAACACCTATCAAATCCTCCACGTTTGACTATAAATCTCAATTTGCTCAACATAAAGGTTATATTTAAGACTATATTTTTTATTTTTGCTCCACAGATTGGAGAAAGAGCGGAGTTTCTGAACAAGTCGGCACAGAAAAGGTAAAAAAATCAACATTTAGGCCATTTTGTGTACCATTATTCCAACTGTCTCACCTGTCTAGTCCAGCTAAACGATATAGAGGATCCTAAGCGTGCTCATGCTGACCTGTGAATGATTTTTAACACCATCTAATCGGCTGATTCTGCCCAACAGCGCGGTGAAGGCGTCTCACTCTCCCGTGGTGTCCAAGATAGACAACCGGCTGGAGCAGTACACCTCAGCTGCTCAGGTCAGCAAAAAACGAATAATAAAATAACCATCTGCTTATTTTTTTACACCTCTTAGACATTTGATTAGTGGGACACTGGACAGCAGCACAAACCACGTCATGAAATAAGAGCTAATGAGAGATTTATCTTTTCAATCAGATTTTATAGCTGTTCTAAACGTGTGGCTCAGATTCATGAACACCGTCTTAATTAATGACATTTATCATTTGTGTAATACCGGCCAGCTATGAGGAATTCTGTGATTTGATTTTGGTTTTTTAAGTCAAATCCAACGCTTTTTTTATCAGTCATTGTCGAATCCACCCAGAAACGCCCCTCATTTTGAGTGTAGGGGGGCGATTCCCTTCACAGTTCTGGGGAAGAAGCTCGCCCTGAGTCTGTTTGTGCTGGAATACATGAGAGAAGACATCGTGTTAGATATCCAGTGGACACAGACGCTCAGTTTTTCCCATTTTATCTGGATATTAGAGCATTCTATTAGTGATATGATCTGGCACAGCTTGCCTGAAAACATTAAACAATGTAAAAGCATCCAGCAATTCAAAAAAGAATATAAGAAAAGTATTTTTGATGAATACAAAAAAGAGTAATATTTAAAAAGTTGTTGTACAGTTTGTCTTACTGTAAATAATTGTCCTTTACCACCATGACACATGGAACTGAGGGGTAGGGTTTAATAAGCTTATGCTATTATCATCCTACTCCTTTTTGAAACATGATGCATGTTTATGAAGCATTCAATGTAAACATTGTCAAACCATATCATGTTTCAAAATAAATTAAATGAAAAAAATGATACAATGAAGAATTTTCAGGAACTTGGCAATTAGTTTTCATAAAACGGGTAACTTTGAATGATTTATTTTTTTTAATTTTTGCCTCCTCAGAGAGAGAACAAGGAGTCCCGATCCCCCCGCTCCGGAGCGGTGGACCTTCCCCTGGTCACCGACGTCCGAAACATCAAGAGCATGTGGGAGAAGGGCAACGTGTTCGGCTCGCCTGGAAGTGCTGGAAGCACATTCAAGGTAAAAAAAAACAAAAAAAAAACACCAACTCGGGAGACAGAAGCAGAGAGAGGAAAGAGCTCTTTCCGGTTGCCGTTAGGAACCAGGCCGGGCTGACCTTTGATCCCGTCCAAACAGGAAGCAGCTGTGATAAAAACGGGCGTCGCCGGCCGCATCAACGACTGGCTGAACAAAACCCCGGAGGGCAGCAAGGGGGCAGGAGGAAGGCCAGCGGTAAGTCATTGCCATGGCAACCCCATTAAGTCTCAGAATCAGCACATTTAGGCCCCAGATAAGGTAATTTAGCTATCACCTAACCACCATGAGGCCTGCAGAAACTCTCATCCATCTCCCAGTTTGACTAGTTTTCATGAGATGTGACTGTATTTTTGGGCTGGAGTTGCTGGTTTGAAGTTTGAGATCCAGAGTGATGTCAGGCTTTTATTTTTATTTGAATCCGAACTGGTCGCAGCAGGCCGCCACACCCACACAGTTTTAGATGAGTTTAGGTCCGTGGATGTCTCAGGAGAGGAGCATCAGTGGAATCGTTTTCAAAGGATGCAAAGAAGCAGGTCAGGCTGACATCTGTGTGGCGCCCCCTGGTGGTCACAGTAGGAACTGAGACTCATCTGAGCTCTGTAGCCTGTTTAATGCTCCTGTTATAAAACAGTTAGCATCAGAAAGGATGTCCACTCTACTGTTAGTAAAGCAACAGAATATAAATCAAGTGAAACCTTCTTTTCAGCTCCTGTTATAAAACCGTTAGCATCAGAAAGGATGTTTACTCTACTGTTAATAAAGCTACCGAATATAAATCAAGTGAAACCTGCTTTTCTTGTAATGTTTCTATTCTCTGAAAATGTACTTTTCAGTGTGATTGAGTTGCTCCGGCTCATCCCACTTCCCCTCGACAAACACTCCTCCTCCAGCTGTCTGTTCCCTCTCTCTTCATCTCAAGTGCTCCACCATTGTCCCCGTGTTGCTCAAACAGATTTCCACATGCCGAGCAGCCCTGATGAAACGCTTAGTCCCTGTCCTTTGTGTTCTGACAGGACCTGAAGCCCGTCGATGTCACCAACAAGAGGAGTCTATGGGAAAACAAAGGCGTCACTCCGACAAAGGTAGCTCCACTGATCCCAGCCCTGTCCTGTCCTGAACCTCCGGAGGAAAGCAGGTGGATTTGAGTAGCAGTTTTTTACCCGTAAGGGAAAAGCCGAGAGAGCATTAGAGCCCATTCAGATGAAGTTCAACCAGTCCAAAGTGGTTTGTGGTCTCATGGAAGGCTCTCTGTGGTTTTTACCGGTTCGATGGCAGCAGAGATGTATAAAGTACTGGAGTAGAGGAGTGGAGTAGAAGTCCAAGTACTATATAAAAAAAATGTACTTGAGTAAAAGTAGAAGTATTCTTTCAACTCCTTACTTAAGTGGAAGTACGGAAGTACTCCATTTTTTTTATACTTAAGTATAGCAAGTAGAAGTATTTAAAAAATTGCTACTCAAGTATCGAAAGTAAAAGTACAAGTAAAAGTACAAGTACTGTGTATATTTAAAAAAAGTCAAAAGTTTGATAGATATTGTTTATATTATTTCAAACGTGTGAATTTTTTAATACCATTATTACGCAATCTTTCGGGAGGCTTTTTTTCTTTTTTAAATAGGCTATCGCCCAGTGAGGAGCCAGCTTCTTAAAATCGGGCAGAGCTATCTATGATTACGTTTACATTTCAGTAACGAGTAAAGAGTCAGCCCGTGAAAAAACGATTCGAGTTAAAGTAAAATAAAGTAAAATAATCAAAAATATGTAGTGAAGTAAAAGTAGGGGGAAAAATATCTACTCCAATAAAGTACAGATGCTGCATTTTGGTACTTAAGTACAGTACTTAAGTAGTTCTTTGAGTAGGCAGTCAAGAGTACATTTTCTCTTAAAGAGACGGAGATTTTTGGACCCTGCTGCTGCTGCAGTGGAAGTAACCACCGCTTGTGTTTGTGTTTTAAAGAACTCGCATAGCTAGTTGACCCGGAATAAGCCTGGCCAGGTAAAGGTGATGGAGCTACGTCTGAAAGTGCTTGTTGCAGAATGGCCTCACTCTGCTGCCACGCTGCCCACAGTCTTCACCCTGTCTCAGCTGCACCCCCGCTCGGCTCTGGTCCGACTCTACAGCTTATTTTAGCTCCGATCATAACCCCCTACCGGGTGCTTTGGCTTTAAATGGGAAATTCATACTGTGACAGATTTCAGAGGTTTAGGGAACATCCGTTAAAAGCAGCAGACAATAACTTTTGGGATTAAAATCTATAGTCTAAAATAAAGTTTTCGTGTTATCACCAAGCTTCCAGTTGACTCTAAAAATGTTCAAACCTGTTAAAGCCGATGCAGCAGAGTCCAGATTCCAGGTTTGGTTGTAAAAAAAAAAAAAGCTTTAAGAGCATTCCCAAATTCCAGCTTTGCACACTTTTCACAAATGGCTGTTACCTCACCGCTTCTCCTTCCACCAATCACGGCTCTCCGCCCAGCTTCACTTCCCTTTTTACGGCCCTGATGGAGCAACTGCTCGGTGTTAACTAACAGAAGAACTAAGAAGCCTCGCCGGGTTGTTTTAAAACCGTGCTCGAACGTGAACAGAGCAAAGAACTCTCACTTTAACCTCCTTTAGAAATACAAAAAAGAATAAAACGGGGTCTAGAGGACTCCTGAAAGGACTCAAATATCCCAGCGTTGACTTATTTTCCAGAGCCCTTTCCTGCCCTGGTTCCCTCTTACCCGGTTTGTGGTGGGCTCCTGTAGCCAGCAGCTCTGGGGATGGGGGGGGGTTTGGATGGGGGGGGGACTGTGTGGTGGTCTGGGCTGACGTACAGAGAGAGGCCTTAACGCTAGCGGTTAGCCGGCCGGTCGCTACCTCACCCCGCTATGCTGTGATGTCAGCCAGAACAGAATAAGCAGGATGGGGGGGGGGGGGTATGTGACTCTCGGTTGTTAATTTCCTCCTGTTCTCGTCTTCCAGGTGACAGGCAGAGGAGAGGCCAAATCAGTCGCCAATGGTGAGTTTTTAAATCCACAAGTGTCTGAAATGAACACAGAAGTCAGGGATGCTAATAAGCCCAAGCGGTCAAAGAACCGGGACTTTAGTTTTAATTTATTTTTTAAGGGAGAGAAAACACTGAAAAGTGGTCACAGTTGTATTTGTTTACTTGCTAAACATTGCTAGTGGAACCTGGTAGAGACTGAACTGAGCTCCCTCTGTGTGAATATGCTCCTTTTTCCTCTAAAACCTGAGTGGGTCCTCGCCGTTTAAGCTAGCAGTGCCCTCTCAGACATGGCCAGTATGAGGGTCATGATCAGTGGCGACATCCACATCCAGCAGCTCAGATTAGTCCTGAGGAGCTCAACAAACATCTGCCTGAGAAGAGGCATGTCTCTAAATCAGCTAAAACGGCGAGGAGCTCCTCCCCCTTGGCGCCCGTGTTCAGTTCAGGCTCCACTACGGAGTTCCGCCCTTCGGTAAAAGTAGCTCCTGCACATGATCCCACGCTGGCCTTTTTCCCGTTTGGCTCCATGGCGTTTTAGCATGCCGCCAGTACATTGTTTACTATTTAAAATCCGTCCGGCTCCCCTTTTGTCCCCCCCCATAAGGCAGGAATGGGCGTTGTAGCCTTGAGGGATTCCGCGCGTGTCGGGGGGGTAATGGCCGCCTTTCGGCCCCCAGGACGCCACTCAAACCCGTCATGAGTATGAAGGGGGCTCCTGCCAGGCCGGTTTGTCACATTAATGCTGCGATGTTGGAGATTAGAGCCCCGTCTCAGGATGACAGAGGATTTGTTCAGATTTTGGACTTCTCACCCGGGGTCGGCCGCAGACATTTGACACTCCAGTGGACCCACACAGAAGTCAGCAGCCCCACAGTATCCACATTCTCTACCCCAGTGTCCAGCATAGTGGACCATTTTAGCCCTTTAAAGCCTGATCCAAGAAAAATAGGTCTGAAGTCTTTCTTTGGCCCCTCAACAACATATGAAGAAAAAAAACAGAAATTATTTTGATCGAATTAGCGTGCAATAAGTCAAAGATATATGTTGGTGTAGTCTTCTACTGGCTGTTATCAGGTATATCTGAATGTGTACAACAGGGGTTTGAGCAAAGCTTTTACCACTGAATGATGCAAAAAGACTTCAGAAACCATATCAAATATGATACATTTGGCATTATAGGGTTAAGAATAGTGATTGTCAGTGAATGCATTTAATTTGGGATGATAAATAACTCGTAAAAACTTTTTGAAACTAGCTTAATTCTTGTGCTAGCTTATCTCTGTGTGTGTGGATTGAGCTGAGTGCAGTAAAACCTCTCGGGGTGTTTGCTGACCCTCATTAACTTACGCCCGCCTGTCAGTGAAGCCTCTGATAGACCTGTTTTGTGTCTCTCAACAGGAATGGGACACTAATGTCTTGAAGAACAAAAAACTGGGGACCACAACAAACCGAGACTCTTTCTTTTGACTTTTTTTCTTAAAAACCAGACGGGCCCGAGACGGCAGAGCTGACCGGACTGTTGACTGTCCCGAAACGGCTTCAGCAGATCTTCTAATGTTGCCAAGTAGTGTGCCTTCAGACAGGGAGCCCTGCTCTCTCAAAGCAAACAATAATAATGCTGTGAAATTTGGACATTTGTTTAAAAAAAAAAAGACAAAAAAACCCTCCGGGAAGACGAAGCTGGTCAAATTTGGATTTAACGCTCCCTGTCGCGTCAAAGAGGACCAATTTAAAGTTTCCACATTCCAAAAAGATGGTTGAAATCAGTTCCCTCCTTCTTACAGATTATCTTCCATCTCTTTTTTATTTTATTTATATTTAAGGCGCAAGCTTCACACGTTGCTATTTTATTCAACGTTCACCAGTTCAGGATAGAAATATAAGCACTTGTAGAATTTAGCTGATTTCACTTTTATTACGTCTTAATAATAGTGCAGCAATGGTCTGAGTAATAAGTTAGCACACGTGATGTTTTGAATATGTCCTATCATACTTTAGCATATATAACAGCTGTATACTCATAACAAAAGTTCATTGTACTTGTTTTTTTTTAGTATCCAAAAGTATTCACCAACAGGCAGTTCATTTTGAAGGTGATAGGAGCGTGGGATATTCAGATGGCAATCATGACTTTTATTATCCTTTGTCTTTTTATTTAAGTGTGTTTATCTTTTTCTGTCCTTTGGAGCTTCAGACATTCCTCTTTTTATGCACAAGGTGCCTTTGCTGCTTAAAGCTACCAGTTTTCTAAAGTGAAGAGTGTGTGCAAACGGACCATCTTTTGTATTCGGCCTTCACGCTAACTTCAATTTTTTTGCTTTTGGACACACTCTCAGTTCCTAAATTGAGGGCATACAGCGTAAATCAGGGCGCCTCTGCGTATAGAAACACAGCAAGGATATTTACCACTATGTAAAGCCTCTGGCCTTATGATTGCAATGAAATCTAAAATAACAGTGCATAAAAAGCTCCGCTTCCACCGTAGGATTTCACTCCCGTTTCTTTCTGGCGTGTGCGTCGGTAGCTCGTCGATTAGAAGGCGAACGGTTTGTCAGGGCATTAAATTGATCCGCGTTACTGCTCATTTCTGACAATCACATTCCATCGCTCCTGAAAAGAGCAGGGGAGCCTGACCAAAATGTTTTTAAGAGTGAATTAATGTGACTGTTTGTCTTTTTTAATGCAGCGCTTTCATAATGCTGTATTTTGTTGTTTTTTTTTTCTACAATTGTGTCCATTTAATGTTTTTTTTATTCTTATTTCTATGTTTAACCAGGCACTTGTTTGTGTTGCGCTAAGCCTATGCAAAACACAATATATGTTCTCTTTTGTACTCGATAATTTACAAGCGGAGGAATGTTTTCAACATTGTACCCTTGACTCAACAACAGAAATAAAGACATTGAGGTATCGCACGTCGTGTGTTTTCCTTTGACTGTCTTGCTCTCCGTTATGTGTGTGTGCCAGGTTGTGTTCTGCATTCAAATGTTTGGCTTCAGGGGCCGAATTCTGCCGGTTTCCACCTCTGCATTTGTTCTCCGAGTTCTCTTTAGCACGATTCAGAGTTTTAGAAAACTCATCCAAACTCTGGCCACATGAATATGAATATAATATATAAATAATTCCAACAAAACTGTTATGTTCACCTTTATGTCAGGTTTTGCTAAAAGTCCGGCTACCAATGCTAACCTTCTAAATATTCAGCCTGCTGGACACTGTAAACAGACCTGTTGAGGTTCAAAATATTTAAAAGTAATATGAAAATAAAAAGCTATTGCAGCATGGACTTTGGCTAAATCATTGCTGCACATAAATGTGACCAAAAAACAAATTTGGCTAGCTGACAAATTAGCTCTGGCTAGCTAAATCTGTTAAAATAGCAAAGAATTGAAACGGTTCATTCACTGAACGCTAACTCAGGAACAAAATGGCTTCTAAAACTGCTGATACAGCAAACCAGACTCAGGATATAGAACTAAGACTTTGATTTATATTACTTGACAATTTTCCATTGATGTGATTTAATGTTAATTGTGATGCATTTCCATTTGGTTACTCTTGCTTTTGACTTTTGAAATTTCTTTTCAGATGGGTATTCTGAGTTAAAGAGTATGTATGACCTTTCTGTACATGTGTAATTATGTAATTACACACCTGTGGAAGCTTAAACACATCCCCTGTGTCCAAATATTTGGAAAAGGGTGTCCAAACTTTAGCCTGCTGTTGTGTGTATCTGTTTATGGCGAGCGCTTGAAGGCAGCATTTCCCCCCAAGGTATAACTCATCCGTCCATCTCCAACAATAGCCCCGACTGTCCACCCCCGTCACGCCGAAGGTATGCGGTCACATGACCCACCGGGGGCCGTATTAAGCGTTGGTTTTAGTTGGAGCGGGGGGGAATCGAAGCGTGTCTTTGTCTGTATGTGGAACAATAAGAGCAGAACCTGCCGCTAATCCCGTCTCTTCATCAGGGGATAAAAAACGGAGCCGGGAGGTGACCTGGACCTGAGGCCTCAAAAACCCCACTAACCTCACTGTCCCAGTAAGTATGAGCTTTTATTTTTTTTTATTTTTGAGCCACTTTGCTGTATCAGGCCCAAGCGATGCATGCTGGGAAAAGGAGCTCCTTTCCCAACAGGAAAAGGAACAGAGATTCAAAGCTTTTCTGCAGCTTCTCCTCCTCAGACGTTGGGGTCTGAGTGGTGGTTTCGGTGGGGACTAAGGTGCTAATCTGGCCCCTGAGGCCGGCGTATTGACGGCATGCCTCTGGGGCTTTGCTTTAATGCGGCCTAATGCAGAAGCAGCGGCCGCAGCATTCCTGCCCGGGCCGCCAAACGGGCCCCGGCCGCATCCATCACACACACACACCTCTAATACAGCCCTCACACACGGGGAGTTCTTTGAGTTTCCAGCTTTTCCTCAACCAGATGTTGTTGTTTGTCTTATTTTATCTCATCTTGCACATTTCTTTGTGTTGGTCTTCTGATGTGTCCACGCAGGGCTGTTAACCCTTTAAAGCCTGATCCAAGAATAAAACTAAACAAAAAATGACATTTTTTTTTTGTTTTAAGTCGTTATTTGGCCTTTTAACAAAATATGTAAAAAGAAAAAACTAAATTAAATTTTTAATATTGATAATTTATTACTATGCGATGAGTCAAGATTATTTTTTGTGTAGTCTTCTGCCCCCTGTTATCAGGTGTATCTGATTGTGTACAGTAGGATTTTGAGCAAAGTTTTTACCATTAAATGATGCAAAAAGAGTCAGACGCAAAAAGTTTCAGAAACCGTATGCATCAAATATGATCCGTTTGGCATTATAGGGTTAAGGTTGAGGAAAATGGAAACGGTGGCATGGATTTTGGGCAGAAACCGTAGTCGGAGGGGCTGCAAATGTGGAATAGAGGGATGGAAAGTGCAGCAGACTCTTTGAAATGACTCAGAAAACCAAATGAGGCGGGGACTTATTTTACTCTTCATCATCCATTCGGTGCTTGTGATTGAAATGAATCTTTGACTGGTTTCTGTAAAGAAGAGTACATTTTGAAGTCCAGACCCACTCCCCCCTGAGAGGCATTGTTGTAAAAATGTCCCCGGCCCAGCGTTGGCCCGTTAAACCGGCGGAGACTAAAATAGCCGTCTGAATGTGGGTCCCCCTGGCTGATTTACTGGAGCTGCAGCAAGGTTAGCCAGAGCCTTTGTCTGGCTCCACACCTGTTCAAAAGCGCGCCCTATTATTCTTAAAAATAGACCTGCCTTCTCCCCCCCCGCTCCACAGCACGTCTGACATTGTGTTTTTTATGATCTTCTGATTTATAAGCCCACGGAAAGCCAAAAAAACAAAAAGTTTCCACTAAACTGGTCTGTGCCCCCCGACGGAGTCCATTTCTCTAACTTGACCTTAACCCCGTCCCTTTTACTCCACTGAGGGGTTCTTTACTTACTTATTTAGGGGTGATTCATCATGTCATACTTTGAACATTTGTTTCTGGGATTTTAATTATTCAAAATGGCACTTTTATAGTCTGGAAGGACAGGTGAGCAACAGATATAGGAATGATTTAACGCCATTAAAAATACACGGGGCAATAGTGAGCATAGCTTCCCGTAGAGGAAGAAACTAAGGGGGGGGAAGTGGTGCACTAACAGGTTAAAGGTTTTGAACTATTTTGGTCATTGCAGAATCAAGGACAACTCGGTCTCCTATACATACGTTTGACCCAGATTCTTCACAATATTAAGACAAACTGAGAGCATAGAAGAATGAAAATGTTCCATTGGGAGGCAATATTTGACAAAATGCATTGAAGAAACTAAATTCCTTTTATTGGAGCTGTATTTTCCCCTTAAGGCTTTTTTTTCATGCATGCACAGACTGTTTTTTTTAATGTGGGATTCCTGGTGTTCTGGTATTCGGTAGGAATTTAGAGTGGGTTTGTTTAAACCAAGCCAAGTGGTGATGTCTTACACAATTACTTCATTTACTTTAACAAACAGACTACATTTTTACAAGCAAAAAAAATACTAAATGTCCATTCGACTGAGTGAATAAGTCGAATTCTGGAGCTACTGCGTTGGACAAAAACAACCCGGGAAGCTTGGAAATGGGTTTTTTAAGCGTGAAGATTGGGCCGTGTCACACTTCAAAGCCTCCCCGGTACCTGGAGGATCGTTTAGGATCGAACGCGTGAAAGTCACTGCGGCGCGCACGGCTTTAGCCAGAGAAAGATTCCTGCAGCCGCGGTGTTCTCGGCCCCGTTCAGATTCCAGTCAGCCGCCTGCAGCCTCGATCAGTGCCAAGAGGAAATGGCTGCGGATTAGGCCTGGATGGGTTTAGAGCCCCGGGCCTCTGCCCACGGCGGGAGCATTTCTGCTTCTACTATTCTTTCAATCTCCCAGCACACAGCCCAGCTTCTTTTGTTTGGTTTTGATTTTGCTGTTTGCACAAATGATAAAAGTTCTGAAAGAAGAAGAGAAAAAGAGATACGAAGCATCTGTCTGAGGGGAAGAATCCCCAAGGGCTTCTGGGAAATATTACAGTCGCTAAGATTAAAATATGGAAAGCCAAGTAGACAAATAATCACAGCAAGAAGAGTATTAAAATATCAATTGAATGTAAACTGCTCCACTTTGCTCTACAACTGAGAGTTTGGAGAGCTTCCATTTGTGTCATTTAAACTGACTGATTTTCTCTAAATTAGAACTTCATTTGAATGTGCAAAATGTGATGAATTCATTGTCGGTTCGGATTGTATTTAAAACATTTTTCTTTCTGCGAATAGGTAACTAAATCAAGATGGCTGATGAAGAAGTAGTAGTGGAGGAGGTGGTGTGAGTACACTTTAACCGCGTTTTAAATAGAAAAATTCAGTTGATTTTGACTCCAAAAGTTTGTTCCATCGTTTCTTTTTGTGTCTTTTTCAGGGAGGAGGGTAAGTAAAGGCTTTGGGAGTTCTTCTTTTGCTGGCAGCGTGTCACTTTGAGCTTCTGTTTCCAGACGTAGCTGACCTGATTATGTCTGCTCAGGCAGAGATAGAAACGGGAAGGTAAAGGCTTTTTCGGCCTCACGAGCGTCGCCATGTTTCCCGTTCTGACTGGCTTTTTTTCTTAATACCAACACCTCAGCCGTCTGTACCAATCTGATAGTTCTTGTTTAGTTGTCAGTTTTTATTTGCCTCTGTTTTTTAATGCTCTGTTTTTAGCAGCCCACTTTGATTTCTACATAATTAGATGTTGTATTGAAAAGTTGGGCTTTCGGAGGTAGCTGCTCATCGCCAAATGTTTGATTCTCCCTGTCAAATCTGATCTAAAGGACGTACACACTATGAAAAAATGTTGCACTTTAAACCAGCTCGAACAATATTTGTATTTTTAAACTGGGGAAAAAATAACTGTGGACATTGACTAAAATTAGGCTAAATTTAAATCCAGTCATGTTTTTAGTTAATCGGATAGTCTAATTTAATCCTCAGTAGTTTCTTGTTTTATCCGTTTGAAGATGATATCTACAGCCTGAATAAACACATTTCTTAAAATTTCGTCCATTTTTATTCAGGGCTATGTCTTGAAATATATTTCTGAATGGTTCTAAGAGGCTTTAGAATCTCCCTGTCTGGTCACTGAACAGCTAGCAGACATAGCTAGCCATAGCTTGCTAGCTTTAGCATTGCATTTAGTCTGGTCCAACTCAAAATAAAGAGTTTGGTTTTCCAATTGTGTCTCCAACTGATTTATTTAATGTTTACAAAGCAGTTTATTATGTCCATTGATATAGCATTTGTATTTATAGTCTTTAAAAAGAATGTTTAGCATATTGCTATTTGCTAATGTATTACAAACAGCATCTATAGATACACACACACACCTGTGTGTACAGTCTCATAACTAATGATGAGCTCAGATAATCACAGGTTTA